TTATTTTGCTTTGTATTTATATATTTTGTCTTTTCCCATTTGGCCACTCACCATTAACAGCAACATACCCATTAATTTTTGAGGTTAGAGCATTTTATAAAGCTTCTGTACATATATCTTTGTTGGTATGAGTGCAAGTGGATCTAAGTCTCTCTCTCTCTCTCCCTCTCTCTCTCTCTCTCGCTCTGTCTATGTGTGAATGTGTGCAATGAGCTTCAAGAAGTCAAACAATTGAATCTTTGGCAAGCCGACGATAGCATACCCTTGCAGACCGCAGTCAAATTGCCAGCAGCCATTGTTCACTGTCAAAGAATAGTAGGTATAGATATGCTATGATGTTGATGAGGATATATATATAAAAATATATGCACACTTTGTCTCGGAGGCGTTGCAAACTTGACAACAAAATAAGAATACTCTTCTGAGATGATATAAAAAACACACACACACACACACACACACAGACAAACGGAGACAAGGACGCTCATATGAAAACAAACGCATAATTTAAGCGTAATTGCTGTCATTTTTCATTCAAGTGCGACTGTGGGACTGACAGGAGATGAGCGCTGGAGTGTGCCATGGCTGCAGATGGCTGGGGAGGGGCTTGAAGGCTTGGGGGTGGTGTCGTAGGCGGGGGCGTGAGCTAGAGGTGGCTGTCGACTGCGACTGGCAAATGCGAATGTGACTGTGACTGCGACTGCGACTAAGGCTGCTCCACTTTTGAATCGATGTCGCCGCTTCTCCCCTCCCTACACATATATATCTTATATATAAGCATATATATATGTATGTATGTACGTATGTATGTGTGTATGTATGTATGTGTGTGTACGTTTGTGTTTGTGGATGCCAAGTGCCATCATCCGGCACTGAAGCGCCAATGATTATGCCGCTGTTTTTGTTTGTTGCTGCTCTCGAGTTGCCCTTTTGAAGACTATTTGAATTAACTCATTTAATATAGACGCGAGCCAGTACATACTAAATATATATCGGTATATTATATAGCTGCCCGAGCAACTATCGGTCACAAGCTGTCCTGTTTGGCTGAGCAAACTCATCAATTAAGAGTGTTGTGAAGCTTTCAACGATATTATTGACAACTTATTTGAACTGCATAGCTAAGCTCTTTATTTGATATTACAATAATTTATAAACAATTTTGGTTTGTATTTAAGATGTAAAATCTTAAACGAATCATTTTAACAACAAATTAAGCTCAATAATCTCAAATGAAGAATGTCTTCATAAAAATAAGTTTGGACAGAAGAAGGAGTGAAAGACACCAAATTTCATTATAGGTTTTTTGTTCTATGTATTATTTACGAGATTCGATTTTTGAAATTTATATTTGTAATTATAATATTGGTAAGGATTAAAGAATGCTGCTAGTCCCCTGTCGGGCAGCTTTGCAGATGATGCAGCAATAAGAGTCACAATTTTAAAGATATTTCTTTCTAATTAAGTAGGCATATAACTCAATACACTCAGAAAAAATCGCACTGTATAAGCAACATAAAGCGAATATACGAATTGCTCGATCTAAAAATACACAAATCTTGAAATAGAAAATTTTTTTTCTAAATTTTGTAAATATATATTTTTTTGGATAATAAGATGAATTAGAAACAAAATAAATAGCAGGGGTGAAAATAGGTAAGGTCTTGTGTGCTGGGTATCTCCTAGTCGAGCTTCTCTCTCGCTCTCGCTCTCTCTCTCTCAGTCGACTGGCTTAGGTGTTGTTGTTTTGCGCCCAGTCTAATCATATTAAGGCAACAGAACTGCAACTGTTGTCGAGTTGTCCTCATCGTCAGCTGCTGTCGTTGTTGTGTTTGTTGCAGCTGCACCTCTCGCGCCAATTGTTTGTGGCATTGTAATGCTCCCCACCTTGCTGCCCCCTCCCCACCGTTGGCTGTTTGCCAACTTTACTCGACTCGAGTCGAGTTCAGTTCGCTTTGGGTTTTGCATTCTCGAGTGTTTTGTTTGTTTGTTGATTTGTTTGTTGGCTGTTGTCGGCAATTGTTGCTGTTGTTACTGCTGTCGCTGTCGCATTCCGTGTTGCAACAATTGCACTTTCGCCACGTTGGCTTTTCCGCCCAATTCTTTTGTGCATTCCGCATTCCGCGGGTGTGTGTGTGTGTGTTTTTGGCGGCAATTGCCGTTGAATTCGCTTTCGAGTGCAACCTTCGACCTCCGCCCTTCACCTTTTGCTCCCCAAACTGAGTCCTTTTGAATTGTACCAAATAATTTGCCATTGGACGTTAACACGTTTGTTTGTTGTTTGTGCCAATAAATTTATATATAAATTTATATATTTATATATATTTATATAAAATACTGAATTTACAGTTGAAAAGACGGTAAATAAACACCTACCTAATAAGTGGGTACCTATGATGAGTGGGCACCGATCAGAAGATACCGAAGTGAGTGCCCAGCAGCAGAAGGTACCGAGATAGGGACCTAGCAGAAGATACCAAAGTGGTTAACTAGAAGGGGAAGTATCATTGGTTAACTAGCATTGCATTCCAGTGTAAGTACCAATCAGAGAGTAGCTAACAGTGGATATCTCTCTACCGGTATCGTATCGTATCGTCAGGTGTGTAACGAAGTGGATATTAAAGTGGGTACCGACCAGTGGATTGCGATGCGGGTGCCAATCATTGAATAACTTCCAGTGGGTACCTCGCAGTAGTGGCTATACACCTGTTCCAAAAACTGAAACTGCAGCAGCGACCGCTTGAGTACATGATAAAGATACGTAAAACTAGACCAATTGTAACTAATCCCTGCAAGGGTTAGAATGATCCCCTGCCTTGTCCGTACAGCAAGTGGTAAATAAGTGAACATTGTTAGATAGGTAGGATTTTAAGAAATGAAGACAGTTCGATTTTACACCTCGACTCAACAGAGATCGAATTAAGAACTTGACTCGGCGGTTTATTAGATCGACCAGTAGATATCGTAGAGCTTGCCTCTCAGAGCGTAAGCTATATGTGAATATCTAGCTATAGAATCTATCTGTGGGCTGTGGAAGTAGGTAATTATCGGTTGATAAATACGAGACTGTAACGAAGGGGCTACTGAATGCAGAATCTAGAATTGGGTACCTAACGGTGGGTACTTACTCAAGTTCGTACTTAAAAGTGGGTAATTCGGTATTCTTACTAGTGGATACCGAAGTGGGTACCTACCATTGGATAGACCTTTGGATTAATATTACATTATGTTGGGCTTAAGATCGTTTATAAATCATACAATTGTCAAATTCTATGCTTTTTAATAGTTATAGTTTTTAACAAAAATGAGAAACTTTCGTTATGCATAATGAAAGTGAAACTGTTAAATTGCTACCTGCTCTGCGCCAGCGATTATCAAATTTAAATTGTTGACCCATAAGTGGCATTAATGTCAAACTCAAAAGCCAAAAAGCTCATTAGCGCTACACAGCATTTTTGTTTTGTTTTTGTTTATTTTATTTACTTTTTTTTTTGTCCCAGACGCCGATTGCAGAACGTAACTAAAACTGAAACGTGAACTGAGAGAGCTATTACCCTTACTCTTAACAAAATGCTGGATGCTGCAAGGGGATGGGGTAGGGTGTGTGAGTGTGTGTGTGTGTGTGTGTGAGTGTGTGTGTGTTGTGGGAGTTTTGGGTGTTTTCGTCCACACGCATTTGCCACACGAGCATAATTTGTTGTAATTAACATAATGAGCCAGCCCAAGCAATAATGGGCTAAAATTCCCACTCCAACTCCCCTACCAACCCCACCCCCCCCCCCCCCCCGAACACATATACATACACAATTAAACGCCCACATCAGAAGACAGAAATTGCGATTCCTGCTGTTTAGCTTGAGTTGGGATTGGATGTTGGGTGTTGGGGCACAGGACCTTAAATAACTGGGTCCAAGTTGCCCGCACTTGCGTATAATTAATTTTTTTTTTTTTTTTTTTTGCCCATCCCTGAAATACCTGAAATGTGTAACCACCAACACCACCACCCCTCACCGCTCACCGCCTCTCTATCATCTCTACGCACATTAAGCATTAAACATTTTGTAGCATTTATGCAAATGACTTTATGAGCGGGAACATTGAAATCTTGAGCATAAGAGCAATTTCCTAGGCATACAATACTTCTTGGTTGCTGGAGCGGAACATTTTTTTTTTTTTAATTGTAAGTTTTTTTCATATATTTTTAAACTTGTATCGTTGAGCGCATATCCTTAAATGTACACATTAGTGCGAAATTGTAGCTGTATAAAGCGAAGCACTTAACTCGAATTAAAAAAAAAACTAGCAATTACAATATGAGTAGCTCTCTATTAAAATGTTATTAGCTGTTTAATTATTACCCATTATTTAATTTTGTATTTTGTCTATTTAATGTGGACTACAAATAGTTCACAATTAAAAAAAACGTTAAATATGTAAGAAAAAATTTCAAATTAAATAAAAATTAAAAAGTTACAGCTTAACTGATATAAAATGAAAAGTGAATGATTACACTAAAACGAAAATTGAAAAAAAAACCGTTTTGCAAAATGTGAAATATTTTTAAACCTGGGTATGTGAAAAATTGTCCGATATTTATTGCAAATATTGAAAATAAACCAATAAAAAAATGCTTACCAAAAATGTAAGAAATTCCAATGTCGAAAGTGAAACATTACAATATTATTTCGATATTTAGAAGCTTATTAGTTGCTGAGTTGAATAATTTTCGGACTAATAAAATGTAGTAATAAAAGCCACAGTTATTTATATACGAGTATATACTTTCCTTTGTATGTAAAAATTTCATTAAGATTGGATACAAATATCAATTTTGTTATATTGATATTCAATTAAAAGCCCGGTCCAGGGTAACTGCTGGTCGAGCTATCTTTCATATTGGATTTTGTTGATTAATCTGGGAATATTTTTCATTACAAACTACACTTATGAACAGATTATATTTACAATTCTTTAACTGAAAATGTGTCTCTCTGTTGCAGCAACAAGTTGTCGAACTATCTGGATATGTTATCATTCTCGTTGAGAATGCGGAGGGTAAAATTAAATTATACGGCTCACCGTCCGATCGCGATAATCTGGAAGTGGGCGATGAGATACTCGAGGTCAATGGCCTTAGCCTGGACAATATATCACGGGGCGAGGCCATTCGTCACATACACGATGTAAGTAATCGATTTAAATCTGATTAACAACTGATTAATAAACTGTTCTGATTTGTTGTATTTTCGTCTTCACTTTTGCAGTGCATCAAATCATGCACAATTTGTTTACGTGTACGCAAAAAGAATGATTCCCGATTGGGTAAGTTATATATATATATATATTTATATCTAGATATTTATAGATACCATAATGCTTTTTATTACTATTAGATCAATATTGTTTGGAGTCGATAAAGTACAGAGAGTATTATGAAAACATTTGTTACTTTGAATATTGATCCAAGTTTTTAGTTTCTCGATACACCGGGCACGTTTGCCAATTATCGATAAATATCGGTGCGATATAAAATTCCTTTTGACTTATTCCTATCTATGTATATATGTACATAGAAACTGGTAGAGGATATCTCTCAGTCGTGCAGTCTCTTAACAACTTCGAGGGCACTCACACAAGCGACAAACAAACTGTTAGCTTTTAATTAACATGCCTTTAACGCAATGGCTTTCAAAATGCGCTCGCAGCTGTTTTGTTAACTGTTTGCATTCATTAACCAACTGCGGTGACTGCTCAACTGCACCTCTCTAGTCAAACCAACTCATTTCGCTCTCTCTCTCTCTCTCTCTCTCTCTCTCGGTTTTACTCTCTCTCTCTCATGGTGTTACTCTCTCTCTCTCTCTCGCTCTCTCTCTCTCTCTTGGTTTTACTCTGTCTCTCTCATTCTTCGCTCACACATTACTATTATGCTTGGCGTTGGTTTGAGCATCTCGCGCAGCTTTTTTTCTTCAACGCTTTTGTTTTTACAATTTGCTTTGTGGTCAGCAGCTCCCAACGTTTTACGTTTACGCTCTGTCGCTCGCTCGCTCTCTTTCTCTCTCTCTCTCTCTCTCTTTCTCTGGCTGCTCTGCGCACGATTTTTTTTTGGGGGCTAGCTGCGGCTTTGGCAACTAATCACATCAGTTGTGCGGCAACTGTCGCCGTTTGTCGTTGCGTTCACAGCACAGTGTGCTGCTCATTCCCGTTACGAATTGCATTCTGTTTCGTCTCGTTTCGCGTCGTGCTGTGTCGTGTTTATGTCGTGTCCTGTTTGTGTAGTGCCGGCTTCCGCGTCGCCCCCTTTGCCACGTCTCACTTCCTACGTTCCCATATTGTACGTTGAGAGTGCGCGCGCGCGCGCGTTGGCTTTTTAGGGCAATTGCGACTGCGACTGCGTCAACGTCAGCGTCAGCGTTTCATTGCCATCGTGTTTCGTTTTAGAGCGCATTTTTGTTTTTTGTGTTGTTTTTTTGTTTTGTTTTAATATTGTTGTTGGTGTATCTAATTTGATTTGTGTAGAGACACACATACACACACACGCATACATCCGCATACATATATATTTACATATATGCAGCAGCAGCAGTACCAGCCACGGCGACAGCGACAACAAGAGCGACGCGTCTAAAGTAAGTGTGCACAAATGCTTGTCAAACTGTCTAAACTTGCTCTTTACACGTTTTGTACGTGTTTGTGCCTGTCTGCCTGTCTCCCCCGTCTCTGTCTGTCTGTCTGTCTGTCCATCTGTCCCAGCTGCCAGCTGAGCTGAGCGATGTATGCACGAGCCATGAATCAGCAGCGACAGAGACAGCAACAGCAACAGAGACGGCAACAGAGACGGCGGCGTCAGCGTTGCGTTTTTGTGTTTTTTTTTTATGACTGATTTTTGTGTGTTAAATATTTTTAATGTTGTTGTTGTTGCATTGTTTTGGGGCGAAGGGCATTTATGCAATACACGCAGCAGCGCTGAGATACATTTGTAGGACAGCAACAGCAACAGCAACAACAACAATAAAAAACATTTTCGTTTTCTGCTTTGTTTCTGTCTTTTTTTTTTCTTTTTGCCGGCAATGTTGACGTTTTTTTTCCACTTGAAATTCAGTTGAAAACTTGAAAAGTTTTCCCTGCAATAAAGAAATATGCATTTGCACATGTGTGTGAGTGTTTGAGTGTGTGTGTGTGTGTGTGTTGATTCAGACTTTACACTTTGCTTATGAGCCATTAAAACAGCTGTCAATTTTCACATGTTTATACCCTATACACAAAATAATTGCACATAGGGTATAATGAATGTGTGTTTAACGCGAACAAGGCAAAAAGGCAAAAGTAAATATTTTAAAATGTGTATAAATAAATAAACTGTTATCGATATATACACATTAAAAAGTACAAGTTGTACTGGGTACGGGCAAAGCCGGATAATACCTGCTGCTAGTATATACATATATATATATATATATATATATACTTATATATATATATATACTTATGTATGTAAATAGTACTCACACAATTGGAATGCAATGTAAAAAGAGCAGCGGAAGCAAACCTAACTAAACAATGCTTTCAAACTAACAAAGCTCGGCTCTCTTCACTTCTCTCTCAGCAATGTAACTAGCTCTCTCTCGGAAATGAGAGACGGAGTTAGAGAGAGAGAGAGAGAGAGAGAGGGAGCTGGAAAGAATTCTTGTTGTTAATTTGACACCTCTGCCAGTGATCGCTGCCATTCACATTTCACATAGAAAACGGCACCAAAACAGCAACAAATAAAAGCTGGAATGGAATGGGAAGTGGGCTGTTAGTTGACTGTGGTAAGTGGTAAGCGGTAAGTGGGATGTGGAAAGTGGGCAGTGTTGGGAGTGGGAGTTGAGTGCGCTGCCAAAGCGAGTCAACCAACTGGAAACTGTTGCTGCTGCTGCTGCTGCTGAAAGATGAAATTAAGCAGATGAAGAGACAAAAAGAATGTCGCAAAATAAGAAATAGCTTCATATGTAGTATAAGTAGCGAGAACGCTCACAAAATTGCAGGAAAAGCTGCTTACAGTTTAAGTGGCTTATAGTGCTGCTCAAACTGTATGTGTAACGGCAACTCCAAAAACTTGAAAACGAAACAAGTTTTACTTGTGTGTGTGTGTGTGAATGTGTGTGTGTGTGTGTGTGTGTGTGTGTGTGTGTGTGTGTGTGTGCTTGTGTGTGGAAAACCCAAAACCGCAACAAGACCAAAATGCGAAACAAATCCCAAAAGAGCTAAGAAAAAAACAACACATAAACTGCCACAACCAACACAGTGCCTGTCCAACTGCAATTGCCATATTTCGTAGGGGCGTTGTGTGTTTTTTTTATTTATATTTATATTTTTTATTATTATTTGTCGTTGATAAAGTGCTTAAATGGAGGCGTAAACATCATGTGCAGTTAAACAACCAACACAAGATTATAGACACTGAATAATGAGCTGCAATGCAGCTGACCAATGCTCGATTTACACTGGCCGACAAGTAAATAAACTCAATTACAATTGTGTCGATGCTCAATCTACAAAAATAATATCTACAAAATCTACTAATCTTTTATTATTATTATTTTTTTTTTTTGTTTGTTTTTGTTTTTACTAAAAGAGAGCTAAAGCTGAGGATATTTTGTACAAATGCAATTAACTGTTTTGCTGTTTGCTCGACTGACTGAAATCCAATGCATTTTAGATGTTTATGGCACACTACAGTAAAAATAGCAAAGTGCCACGAAAGCTGACCAAAGGTTGAAGATTTATTTTTTATGACTTTTTTTGCTTTTTTTTTGTTAAATATTTTTGCTTTGGGTTAAACTATGTTCGTTATTTGAGGCATCGGCAAAGTTTTTGCCGCAGACTAACTTTCAACAAAGTTAGTTGCAGAATGTGACCGACTTCCTCCTAATAATTAATAAGGACAATTAGCCGAATTTTTTTTTTGTTTTACATTGTAAGCATTAAATTTTTCACTAATAAAATGAAGGAAATTTGGCTTAGTTGTCATATTTCACATATTTATCTATGAAATGTATGTAGATTGATGATTGATTGATTGTCTGATTGATTGATTGATAATCAATGATCAATTATTATTCCATCGGAAATTGTAAATTGTATGCGAATGTAGAGTAATTCCTCTATTTATATATATTTAAACATGCATCGAATTCTTCTTGTTGAATTCCAAAAATATCGAAATTAAAATTAAGTTTTAATTTTTAATTATTGGGGTTTTTGTTTCTCTTCCTGGAGAAGTCTCTGCAAGATTCGTTTATCGAAGTAATTTAATCTTTTCTCAGATATAGATTCTATATGAACTCTTCTTAATTAATATCCCATAAATATTGAAAAGAAATTACTCCGATTTTATTGAATCCTGTTTGTTTTTTCTCATTCCGTTTTTTGGCAACTTTTTCGAGCTTCGTTTTCTAATCTGTCCACTCTGATTCTGTTTCTTCTCCTTCTCTTTCTACTTTAGCTGTTCAATTCGTCTCCCAGCTCTCTTTTCACATCTTCTTCTGCTTTGGCTTCATCTTCATTTCTGCTTTTGAATGGAACATTAAGCCACATCAACATTGTCGCATTATCTTTTTGTTTCTTCTTTCTTTTGTTATGCATCTCTATTTACTCTCTATTGCTCCCCCCGCCCCGCCCCGCCCCCTCCCATCTAACTCTAAATCGAAGGAAATTTTCTCTTTTTTGGGTCACTTTAACCAGTAAAATGGGCGCAAGAATTTCTAGTTTATTTCTTAAAGAGCCCCCCCCCCCCCCCTCAAAAAAAAAAAACGAAAAAGAAGTTGTTACTCATTACTTGTCTTGTCTGCTCACACACACACACACACACACGTGCATAGACATGGAAAGAGACAAACGTTAGCATTCCAAAGTTGTTGTTGTTGCTGCTGCTGCTGCTGCTGTTATATTAAGCGAAATCAATAGAGCGACCAAGATGTTGAGAGCATCCAACAGATGGACAGAGAGGCAGAGAGAGAGAGAGAGCGAGAGCGAGAGAGAAGGAGACGAAGAGGAGAGAGGAGGCAGAGCAAGAGATACTGCTTTGTCTATTGCCCACGGTCCATGCAGGTGTGTGAATGGTGTGAGGGAGGGGGAAGGGGTGCTTTTTATTGCTGCTGCTGTTGCTGCTGTTGCTGCTGGTGCTGCTGCTGGTGCTGCTGCTGCTGCTGCTGCTGATGTTGGGGCTTAGCTTAAAATCCGGTAAGGCAAGTTTCTTAACGTCGCTGCTCGCATTGCTGCCTTTGCTGCCCTGAGAGTGTTTCTTACGATTTACACGCGCTCGATGATGATGATGGCGGATA